CGCGTTCGTGGCCTTTCAGTAGAACCATCCCAACATTCGCCTGGGAAACCACGGAACTCCCGGTTTGGATGGCAGGCACGGGGATTGAATCCGGGTCTCCCAAATGCGAAGTCAGCGCGCTACGCCCTAAGCCACTTGTCTCTGTCCATGGATATCAGATACCGGCAAAGCGTATTTTCCTGTCAGAGTGCCGAGTGGAAATTCTTTACAGGAAGACGTTAAAAACTACGGGAACAGGATGGACAAATCGACGAATTGTCGAGAGATGTGAACAACATCGTCGCTTTCTCAGCACACTCGGAATAAATCCGAAGAAAGCTTTTTTATAATAATTATAACTTTTATTTTCCAATTTTCTTGATTTGAACATTTGAAAGTGGAGAAATTATAAACGTAGCACATACATATGGATTGTCTCCGGCAGGGACACATTAATATTTTTCCAATAGGGGACTGCAAACTATCAAGAAGGTAGACGATCACCACCACTCCCTCCCCTCGAAGTTTCCACGCTGCCTACTGCGCTGTTTGACGCCCCGTCCCGTGTTTCCCCCTCCTCCTCCACCCCCTGGCGATGTACTTCGTCCCGCACTCCGCTCTTCTTACCATTGCCCGCGCGTCGGCCCTCCAGTGCCTGCATGGCTCCTCCCTTTGACAACACTTTTATTAAAATCAGGGAGGTCACTTTCTGGAAAACATGGAAATCAGGGACCTTCATTGCTCTAGACAGTCAGGGGAATATCAGAGAATTTGTAGAATAATCGTTAAAAATCAGGAAAAATGTTAACACGTTTATAAAGTTATATATTTGACCTTAAAAACAGTAGTACAGCGTTATATTTTCTCAATTTTTATTTGATGACGAAATATTATTCATTCTCATCTTATTATTCGCGTCGAAATCAGAGAAATGGCCTATTGTGTCAGAATAGCTTCACTATTTCCTTTAAGTAGTGTGAAATAAATTTATTTAGGAAAAAAAATTAAAATGTATTGAAAAACCGGGATAAGTCAGAGAAGTTTGTTCCGGGAACTGAGTGGCCAACTTGTAAATTTATTGGCTATCCGTTCAGCTAGAATCTTTGAGGATTTATATTCACATACATGACATTAGTTATTGGGTCAACCTCAGATGTAAAATTAGTTTTTGTATTAGACTGGTGTGCGTCAGGATGTGGGGGAGTAGACTAGTGTGGGTGGTGATTAGATGAAGGTGGAGGTCTACATTTCAATGTGATAAACCGCCCTCCCTTCGTAGGTGTCGCGTCGGCGTCGGCTGCTCGGAGGTGCGCCACCGCTGCTCCCATGATATCTTTTCATCACAGCTGCTCCCAATCTCACTCATTGTTTGAGGTTGCGTCTAGTGACACGACATTGGCAACAAAACATCGATATTGCCAAACATTGATGTTTAAAATTGGAACATCGGTATTAATAATACATCCAAAATCCATCGATGGTTTAAAACTGGTTTAGTAACCTCTAACATTGAATTCGTGCGCAACAAACATTAATTCGACTGCGGCTGTGCATATTAGTTTGTAATGAAATTTAACTGAAAACAAAGTTAAAAACGTCTTTTCATGTGCGAAATTGGAGGAAAGACGAAGGAAATACCAGAGTATCAGGATCACCTCGGGCGAGGGTAGAGTGCTCGATGAATTAATCCCAAACGCGTTCCTGTCGATCGAACACAGAAACAGACAATGGCACTATGGTTAAAACGTCTATATTTTTATAGAAACATCAATATTTTGAAAACATCGGCATCGATGTCGCATCCCTAGTTGCATCACTCGTCGCTCTCCACCGTGGCCAGTGGCCTTGATCGCCAAGCGCTGCACGTAAGTGGCTGCTAGCGCAGGTACTGCCGCCAAAACGTTTTCATACGTGTTCATAAGTCGGCTCGAGTACGTGAATTAGACCCGATGTATAAATCTCAGGGGGGAAAATTGCGATTTCTTGTTGTTTTGTGTTCAACTCGTCTCTGTACCCTCTTTTTTTTCACTGTTTTTTTCACTGTTCTTGTCGTGGTCGCCCTTCTTTCTTCAGATCATCTTCATTACTTCTTGCTTCTGTTTTTCTCCTTCTCCCGCATTTAAACCTACTTTCTGCTTTCTTCTTCTTCATTGGATATTATCTCCTGTTTCTTCTCTGTGCAGCGCTGTAAATTACGTTGTCCATAAATTATGTGACGCTTAAGAGAAGGGAGAGGGTTTGAGGTAGCGTTACGTTGCGTTACATAGAGGCAGATGTTCAATTAGTGTTACGTAACATTTATTTTTATACATTTTGTAACATTGGTTGCAATACTTCCTTTTTTTGAGACTTTCACTAAAACATTAAAATATTATCTAATTAATTTGTTTTAAAATATAAATAATTTAAAATTATCAGAAGTTGTGATAATAAATGGAAATACGTTTTCATCAATATTGTATTGAATCTGTAAGATTACGAAGATATAATATTCAAAACCGATTCAAAAGATAATATTCAAAACCGATCTGCATTGTTTTGTAGAATACAATTAAATAGGCGCAGTAGGTTCTCGCCCATGCGCCATTCAAAAAAGGTGGCGGATGCACGGCTTTTAATCAGAAATTTTCTCGCCTGTGCATCCTTCCTTCATTCAAAATATGCCCCCAATATTATTGTTAGGTGCAGTCAGCATCGACTACTAATTATGACTTTAATTATCATAAATTTTAATACGCAGCACAAAAGAAATGAATACAATGTTTTACTAAGCTATAATTTATTTCATTTCTTGCATTTATGAGGGGGTGTCACAAGCGTTACGTACATTTTTAGGGGCAGAGGTTTAGGGGCGTGTTTGCGTGCGCAAATGCGTTACAGGGGAAGAGGGGGTATTCAAAATTCTCAAAATTTGCGTTACGTGTATGTTATGGACGGCCCCTTTCCGCTTCTTGTGTGCTCTGTGCTCGGAAATCTCTTTGGTCATTTTTTCTTTGTCTTTCCCTAACAACAACAACTTCAACAACAACAACAATAATAATAATAATATTAATAATAATAATAATAATAATAATAATAATTATTATTATTATTATTATTATTATTATTACCATCGGCGTGTTCGTGCTGTTTTGACTAGACGCACGCCCGTGTGCTAAAACTCTGCCGCAGTTTTTATGACGATTTCGCTTATCGGAAATGATGACACCCGATGCGTGTGTTTCTCTAGGTGCGGAGGTAGAATCACTTGTTTCGAATTCCAGTGAAAAACAAAACGTTTAGATTGTGTAAGCTGAAGCCTTTTCCTTTCTAGATCACGTTTCTTGATTCCCTTTTCCCAAGTTCCCTAGCGCTTCAAACTTCGGAAAGTTTTTAATATCAAAATTGGAATTTTTTTCATTTCAAGATCTGTCTGATTACCAGTACATTTTCTCGTAGGCGGTGAGATCCTGGAAACTATATTTCGAACTCCTCAAACCAAACGCATTCAATTAATCTCTACAGCTGGAAGCGTAAGTGCACACAAACTCAGTGACAGGCCTCAAAAGTGAAGATACAATTTGGCCTTTGGAGTACATACGTAACGATTGTACTTCCCATATTTAATGTTTTTCTTGAACATCTACATTTTACTTGCGAATGTTTTAGAAAATCTTTGGGTGTTTATCATAATCTGCATACCTTGAAAATTTAAAAAAAGAAAAAAAAAAGAGTTGTGAATTTGTTAGGGGATGGAACCAGAAATCCAAGGTCTTACGTATATACACTAAAAGTGTAATTCGTTCACTAAAAGCGCCGTTAGACGTTCGTAGAAACGTTATTGTACTCTGTGATGTCTCATTCTCTATTTTTTCTGATACGCATACTACATGAAATACGTTGTACCATCCTGTAACTGAATGAATTATGAATAGGGCTCCGATAATTATGTACAAAAAAGTAAGAAATGTGTATCATTAAGTCAATTTCATTTTATTAAAATACTTTTATCTTTGGGTGTATTGTTCTGTTTCATAATATAAGGACCAAAATTAAACATTATACACTTCCTAATCCTATTATTTACAACGTTTCCGCAACAATAAGACACAAATATTTGTTTCAAATTTTCAGCAAAGATTTTTTTTTTCTATTATGACTAAAAGAGCGTTGTCCATCGAACAAGTCACAAGTGCGTATTTAAACTTGCACAGAACCTCTGGTGTGTGGTCAATAACCAGTGTCGCGGAATTGTCCCCTCATTGCATTACACTAAATTGTTTTTAATCCGGGGTTTTCTCCAGAACTGAAGACCTCTTTTTCTTCACTAGATCGCCTATTGATCTTCGAATGATAAATGAAAAGTTCTTAAAGGAGCGACAGCTGATTGGGCACTTTCAAGGCTGTAAGAAATTTTCGAGTAAGACATCTCCAAAGATTTAATTGTAGTGCGATCAGGAAATTCGGGAACGTATTTGCGATTCCGTATAACAAATTTAAATAAGAGTTTTTCTGGCGAATATTTACAGTTTTCTGGCCCACGATTACGTAACTTTCTCTTCTTACGAAGTATTGGTAAGGGAAGAAAGTAAAAATGAGTAATTAAAAATGATAATCCTTAAAAATTACCTGTTTCAGGCAAGTATGGAAATAGGTATCAGCCGTCATTTTAGTATATTTTAGGCACTATTGGTTGCTTTCAGTAGATCTCATTTTTAATGTTTCGTAAACATCTGCAATTATTTTCCACAACCCCCTAAAGGAATTAATGAGGCATTTGTCCTAAAATCAGAGGTCTACGCACACCACCTTTTTACAATTCACTAAAAATCATCCAAGGTTTAGTGTGGTCATTTGTTTAAGGTCCCTTGAAGTTAAAATTTTTATTGTCGGTAAATGGTTTTGAATCAATTTGCCTTAAGAGAAGCCGTAATGGTCTGAGTCACATCTTCGGAAAATAGTGTACTCTGCTGCTATTAGAAAGTACTTAAGGAAGAAATATTTCTGATCATCCATTAATCCTTGTTTCTATTCTGTTGCAGCGAGGAGGTGCGAGAACAAGGCTTCACGGCCGTCATTGACATGCGAGGCGCCACCTGCAACACCGCTAAACCCATCCTAAAGGTGCTGCAGGAGCACTTCGCTTCGTCCGTGCACGCCGTCTACGTCATCAAGCCAGATAACTTCTGGCAGAAGCAACGCTTCTCGTTGGGTAGTCACAAGTACAAGTTCGAGGTGAGTTCCATTAGTATTCTCAGTACGAGGTGGTTTAGGCTATGGCCTTAATCAATGCTGAAGCCTGAGAATTCTTTATTCATTTAACGTCAAAAACAGTTAAAACATGTGTGTGACGTACTTTGGGGAGAAGTGTATTCTGTGCACGTTTTTTTAAAAATTTTGTGATCCCTTCCCTAACCCACATACAAGTTAAATTCTTAATAAATATGGAAATGAGCGGTTTTTTTACAAGAATTGATAAAAGAATTCACTCCAGTGTAATAAAAACTACTTGCAAAAGCAAATCAGTTATAAATTTGATGTATTTTCCTCGTCGTGCTCTTCGGGAAGGAATTGACTTTGTACCACGAGGACGGTAACACTAGGGAAAAACTTTTTTTTCATCCCTCCAGGATGGAAGTAGGCGACTTCAAAGAAAACGATCCCGCTGATTTCGAAAATCGTTATAAAATGTTTCAATCACGCAGGGTTTAAAAGATATGAACACATTTAATATTTGAAATAAACAAAATCCCATACAAATTTCCGCATTGTCACTCCGGTTATATTACTACAAAATTGTGGGGTCATACCCGATTCAGATGAAGATTTTGTTTTTAGGAACAGTGAGGATGAAGCCAGTAGTTCGAGTGAAGTGATAAGCTGTCAGAGGAAGACGATGCAATAATTGATATAGCCCATTCTTCTCCTCGATTGTCTTTACAGGAGCAGCCAAATACCCTTACAGAAAAATGACTGCCAGGGACGGAAACGAGTGAGAGATCGTCAGCGCTAACTCATCTGGAAGAAGAGCTGTGAATGACTTGAAAGAACGAGGTGGTCCAACGCCGTGGGCGTGCCAGCGATCGAATGGATCTGTGATAGTTCCTTCCGTTTGCTCTTTGATGAACCAATGCTTTGCCTCATGGAGAGACACGCCGAATCAGAAGCATGAAAAGTACTGAAAAACGACTTGACCGTGTGTCTCGAAGAGATGGAGGAAACTGCATCATGTACGCACGAGGAGCGTTTTGTGCAAAAGGTATCTCAGTGGATATCTCAGTTTGGTCTTGTTTGTGGGGACCAAAATTCATAATCGACAATGCCAAGAGACACATCGTGAGCTTCTCCGATCCTCCGTTTTGACGACAAATCAACACGGAACGCTTTCGTGCTGATAAGTTTGCTTTTGTGTCAGAAATGTGGGAGAGGTTTGTAGAAAACTGCATTCGTTGCTATCCCCAGGTGAAAGGGTAACAATCCAATTACTTTCGAGTATAATTAGGTGTAGATATATTCCGTTTATGCCAAACAAACCCGACAAATGCGGAATGAAATTTTGGGTCGCGGCTGACGAAGCAATACCTTTCCCTACCTTGGCAAAGAGCATGCTCTGCCTAATAAACAATCATTTGGTGAATTTGTTGTTCTGCATCTTCTGAAGCCATTTCTAAACCAAGGAAGAAACACGACAACTGACAAATTTTTCACATCTCTTCAACTTGCAAAAAAGGTCGAAGTGAAGAAAACATAATTAGTGGTAACAATCCGTTCCGTCGTGAAATCCCAGATCAGTTGGAGCGAAATGCTGTACTTCATTCGTCTGTTATTTTACCACACACTCTAGACGGCACAAACTGCACCTTGACAGTGTATTAATCAAAGCAGAAGAAGAACGTCATGCTTCTCAGCACACGTCATCGTGAAGTAGCTGTCAGTGATAAAGGAAAAAAGCCGGAAACTGTGACGTTCCATAACGCCACAAAATATGACGTAGTGGACCAAGTGACGCGGAAATATAACACCAAAGCAGCATGAAGGAGATGACAAATGCGTGTTTTCTATAATACAAGTATATTGGACATGGCGGCAATCAATGCTTATGTAAACTAACAATCACGTAACTGATAGAAAGATGAAAAGGAAAAAGTTCATTCAACTGTCTAGTGAACTGAAGGAAAGGGATTTGTCAGAAGAAGTACACAAAGGAGAAGGGACTAGTACCGGGGTCATCCAAAAAGAGAAAGAAGTTCCAGATCGGCTAAAGCAAAGGCAACAAAACCAGAGATTTGTGTGAGAAGTGTCATAAAGCCGTTTGTGGAAAATGTGCCAAAAAAGTTGAAATAAATGCAAAATACATTTAGATGATTTAGATTTGTTAGAAAAATATGCGCACCAAAATACAGATATATTTTGAAAACAATTCGAATTTCAATATATCGTAATCATGGTGTCAAAATGACCACTTCCCGCTGTTCTAGGTACATCAGGTTCGCCGCCGTTCTTGTGTTAAAGCTGCTAACTCGATGTGTCGCATTTTTTGAAATATTTCATCGAACATGTGTTTTATGATTTGCGGGTCGATGGAAATTACTTCCATCGACTTTACATTACTCATGTGGAATTATTTCACTACTTTGAAACTGCATTTGTAACTGCTTTAAACTATACCAAATGATCTATAAACATTTGCCATTCATCTGGATTATAGAGAAAACCAATTCACTCATTAATCCCCTAATGTCTGCAGAAAAACAAACTAGTGAAGCAATGGCACAGACTTTCCCATATTAGTTATCTGTTCACTGTGGTCTCGGCTATCTATTCGAACTTGCAACATATGCTGCTATCTGTCGCCGCAGAGCCTGCTATCTGTCGCCGCTCAAAGTACATTTTTTTTACATTTTCTTTAATTTTTCGGTTTCCTAGTTTAGGATTACTAAAGAACAGTAAAACCTTATCCTAAATCGCAATTTTCTTTCAAAAATTTGGATTCTTTTATAAAAGAAACTGGCGTTTAAGCGCAACTACAAATTTGAAATTTGGAGCTTTCTTCGCACGAAATTTTAGTTTTTGAAAAACTTAATTTGAAGTCATTTCAAGTATTTTAACTCTCCAATTCAATAGTGTTTACAAATTCCTGGAAATGGGCATATCAGCGGCGTGAGAGATCTGTCAAAAACTGTATATTTGTGTAATTTTTGTAAAAACAAAAAAAAAAAACTAAATGAACTTTACGTCATATTGAAGAGTGACATTAGCACTATCCGTTCGAAAGGTTTGAAGAAAAAAATTGGAGCCGTTTTTGAGAAAGTGGCGTTTGAGCGTTTCTGAAAATGCGGAATTTTGACCTAGTTTTCACAGAAAAAGGTTGAGTTTTCAGAAAACTTTATAATACATTATTTAAAGCAAATGTACTCATAAATACATTAATGTGAACAAATTGACGCTAATATAAATATTAACGACATGAGAAACAAGTCAAAAAAATTACATTTTTGTAATTTTTGAAAAACAAAATAATAGAGCACTATGGCGTGTATGTTGAGTTATAGAGTACATTTAACACTATCCCTACGAAAAGTTTAAAGAAAAAATTTGGAGCTGTTTTTGAGAAAATCTTCTTTTGTACCTTTTGCAAATTGCACATATTGCACGGATATGTTGCGCGAAAACTATTAATTTTTTTAAAAAAATGTTCATGATATTAATGAAAGAACAAATTTTATTTGAAGTAAAAATATCTACCTTTAATTTTGTAATTGTAGGAAGATACCAAAAAATTCAAACTTCATAATTTTGAAATTTTCGAAAATTCAGAATGAACTGTGAAATCCGGACCTATGCCACCTTTTTAAGTGTATTCTTACAAGAAATTTAAAGAAAAAATTTGGAGACGTTTTTTGAGAAGAATTTGAAAATGTTTGGAGGGCGTCATGTAAAGTAAATTGTGAAGAATGTTTTTCAAAATCACATAGTATTGACTCGAGCCAGAGGGATAGGGGTTGCCAGAGAGTTAATTTAGAAAAATCCTATGCACGGGTTAGGCGCTAGTAGTGTTCACAGACACCACACGGATAGACGGACGGACGGACATTTTGAAAAATACCACTTTTTCGGTATCTGGGGACCCCAAAACGGGAATTTCCTTCGAAATCTCGAAATTGATTTTCCGATTGATCCAGAAGCTGAGGTTTTCTTTCCGGAGGATCTCGACAAACGATCATTTAAAATATAAGCTTTCAATGTTAAGCAGATGAAGAATTTTTATTCGTGACTATCATCCTATTCTAAGAGCAATGTGAAATGACGGAGAGATAGTTCGATTTCAGGTTGTTTTGCGCAATTTACTCACTTTTATTTAACATTTTGCGTTGTAGATGTGTAAAATTTCGACACATTTTCATTTTAACGTGGCAGAAATACATTGATATTTTCTATTTACGGCATTTTTTGGACGTTAAAAGTAAAATACTGTTCTTTTAGCTTTAGTAACTACTTAAAAACATAAACATTAACTGTTCGCACAGCATTAAATGGAATTATTTTTAACTTTCTCGTACATTCGGCTTTGTAGGCCTATATGAGGAAATTATTTAATGCTGCAAAAAAACGATGCCGAGATTTTGACGAAAGACACGTTTTAGAGCTCCCTGATAACAAAAATGTGGTATGTTTATCTATTTGTTAACAACGTTAGGGCCAACACAGTTCACAACCTTTTTTCAAAATGGATATTACCTAATCTATCTGCCTGACGTTCAAACTCTGAACTTATCCTCCGAACTTGAAATAGATCTTTTAATTTTTTTTATACGAAGAACTTAAAACATGTTCAAAATTTTGTCTAAAATACTAGACATGAATTTTGTACCAATTTTTTTTTTCTTCTCGAAGAGAGAAAAGCGCGCTTATTAATTCGTTATAGGTCTGTAATTATTTTCATTAAACCTCTGAATTTTCGAAAATTACAAAAGTTCAATTTTGTTTGGATTTTCTACCACTATTACTGCATTAATGAAGCTAGATATTTTCCTGTCGTAATATGTCCTTCAAAATCCCATTTTTAAGAGTAGCGCACCAATGCCATTCCGGCACTCGGACGACGCCAACGACTGACGGTGGAGTCAACGGCTTACCCCAATAATACTAATTTTTAAATATTTAAGAACTAATCCTGCTTGTAATTCCAAATATAATAAAATTATTTTCTGCAAGTTTAGCAACTTGTTTTTCTAGTTTTCTAGAACTAGTTCAACATTCACTATATTGACCCGATTGCACAGTAGTTAACTACTACATCGACAAATACTAAAATAATATTACAATGTGTGATGAGGTCTGGCTGTAAGAGATTGCCGGAGTTTCCACGAAGCCATTACGCATAGCGACAGATTCAAATTGTTTTGTAAACGTCCGGTAAACGTTGAAAGACAAATCTGTTAGTGAGAGATAGGAAAAGCTCTAATAATAAAAGTCTTAATCGATGAAATGGCAACTCCTTACGTACAAGACGCAGATATTTTCAGAAAAGAAAAATAACACAATGCGTCATACACCTGTGCACTGTCGGAGGAAACGTGCATTCATTCTCCTGCTGAATGCTAATCTGACTTACCAGAGAGACAACAATAGGTAAACGTTTATTGGTGTTCGATTACATTTTTATCGCGTGGTATAAGATTTCAGTGTAAGATTTCACCGTGTGTCGAGCCGGTTGCAACCGACTACTATATGATAGAAGTGTTGAGGTAGACGGAGTTTCGAAAATTGCAAATTCGAATTTCACTCACTTCTTTTGCTGCAGAGAGTCTGTGACGAGTTAGCTGAAGAGTTAGTTGGATACTATTTTCTATATTATAATATGAATATTAAGTATCCGCTACAATATTGATGAAATATTTTTCCTTAAATGTGTTTTAAAAAACATACCTTTAAAATAAGGCCATGTACAATTTTTTTTGCGCAAATAATTTTTACGTAATTTTTCTTGAAGTTATTGCAATTTACGATTTTCTTTTCTTGAAACCGGTTCCAATTTTTTCTTTATTTTTTCCTTCTTATTGAGCAAAGGACGCTTGAAAATGGTGCAGGTCCCATTTGAATATGTATTTTCTATTTTACTATCTACTATCATTTGTATTTTACTATTTTATTAATTTACTCTTTATGTGTCTACTCCGTAGGGAGAAAGTAAAACGACGAATTTTTGGCAGAAAAACTCATATTACAGGGCCCAGGTAACGAAAAAGGGGATAAATCCAGTTGCTAAATTTAGGAGGGGAAATCCATTATTACGTTGTGCAACTAGACTGACTGACTGACTGTCTGTCTGTCTGTCTGTCTGTCTGACTGTCTGACTGTCTGACTGTCTGACTGTCTGACTGTCTGACTGTCTGACTGTCTGTCTGTCTGTCTGTCTGTCTGTCTATCTATCTGTCTGTCTGTCTGTCAGGCTGTCTGTCTGTCTGTCTGTCTGTCTGTCCATCCTTCCGTCCGTCCGTCCGTTCGTGTCTGAATTTTACACACTTCAGATAGGCAGACGGACGTTTTGCTGACATTCGATTTTTCGGTTCGAAGGACACACCAAACATGGAGTCTGTCTGTGAACAACGCTAGAGGCTAAACAGTTCCTGCGATTTTCTCCAAAAGGGATATTCCCCAATCGATCTGACTGTCGTTGTGGACCCTTGAATTTGAAACCGATTTAATTGTTGGGGGTACTTAACATGAAGCCTCTGGGACATTTTCCAAGTTTTCAAAAAATGACTCCGTTGTTTTGATTGAAGTTTGTTGTTGGGTAGTGTAAAGGACGTTTAAGAGAATGGTGCGGATCTCGTGTTCGTTGAAATCGTTGATTTTTCGAAAAATAAGTTTTAACTTTTTTCGGAGTCTTCCTACAACTAAATTATTAAAGATAGACATTTTTTTCCCTTAATGAAATCTATTCCTTATAAATAGATTTTGCAGTAAGGACAATTTTTCGAAAAATAAGAATTTTCGCGTAATTTTGTATGAAATTACGGCCGAGAAAGTACGTGCTGTTTTTAGCACCAAAATTTAATTTGAAATAATACTTTCGGAAACTCTCAGAAGAATAAAACGCCATAAGTACATTTTAGATATCGAAGAAAAATTTTGAGTCAGTTTTGATCGTTACTTAAAAATACGGGTTTCTGGCTAACCCCACTCGAAAAGTTTTGAGATTTCTAGGTACTTCATTCTAGATTTTTTAAAGCATTCGTGTCTAAAAAAAGAAGCATTGATTAATGAAATATGTTGCATATAGAAATTAGATATTAGTCTTATGGAACAAATTACATACAATTTAAATTAAAATTACAATTTTTGAAAATTCAAACGTTTTAATAAAACTTTGCCCTGATTCCTTGTAATTCAATATGCTCTACCAAAAAAAGTCATTAAAAAAACGTGTCATATAGAAAAAACTCTTAAGCAGTTTTGGAAAATTCACCTAAATTGATTCAAAATTATGAATAAAAAATCTTACATTTTGAAAAATCCATATGACTTAATTTCAAGTTCTAATATTGGAGATTATATATTCGGCACTTTATTGTTATTACCATCCCCGTCTGTCTGTCTCTCTCTCTCTCTCTCTCCCTCCCTCCCTCCCTC